GCTGTGCTCTGGCACAAGTCTGCGTCTGGCATGAATTCTCAAGGGAGCCACGTCATGAGGTACGTGGTTGCAAACCCTATCACAAGAAATCTTGCAACACGGACTTTCCTGAGCTCGGTGGGAAAGTCTGGATAGTCCCTCCCCGCTCCTGCCACGAGAGCAGCTCTCACATTCACAAGTTTCCAAAGCAGGTCTATTGAGTTTCTTCTCAGAGTGAGCCTTTGTCAAACACACCCAGAGGGGGGGAATCTCACCTCTTCTCAGCAACTCGGATCAGTGCACCTTTGTTTTAATGCTCCAAACCAATCCTGAGATGCTGCTGGGTTTGTGGGCTGTTTTTCTGTTGAACCTCCCCAACCCCCCCCCAGCTGCCCCGGCGTTCTCAATTGAAACTGGAATTCAAGGGCCAAATTCAAGCTCAGAGTGAGCAGTAGGACTTGGACCTCAAAACAGAGTTGCTACCTGCTGACCCCCAGCCTGAATTTGGTTCATCCAGAGTCTACAAGTCCGAAAGGCATGTTTAGAAAGAGTCATGCTAAGGGCTGATGGTAGAATGACCAATTTGTTCCCACCAGCGTGGTGGGGAAGGCTGGACTGAGAAGGAAGAGAAGGATCCATAGAGATGTGAACCAGAATCAGTTGTGTTGAGCCCTGGGGGATATCACTACACGTTTAGCTCTTGCAAGACCATTTGCCCAGGGCTTTGGTACCACAGGGTTAGAGTTACATTAACCACAACCACCAGAGAGGAACTGAGGTTTATGACCCCCCCCAAGGTTAGATTTCTGCTGAGTATAAAGGGGAGGGGAAGGAGGGGGGGGTCCTTGGTTCTTTTCCCTTCACTGTGTGACCGAAGGTTTTGCTTTAATTTGTAAACATCTTGAATTACCCGTCGTTTTCCAGTCTTCATCGCGCTGTTGTCAGGCCACTGGAGAGCACAGCGTTTTCTGAGCTGGGCTGGGACTGCTCCTTCACCACTGGATCTGCAGGAGACACAGACCAGGCAGGAAGGGGAAACAGTATTTAAATAAAGCGGAAGCTCCACCCTGGCAAACCTTTCCAGAGAAACTGCCCTCAAAACCCACAGAGCTGCTAAAGCTTTCGCAAAGCAGGGAGCTGAAATTTGCCCCCATGAGCCAAGATCCCTCTCCATCCCAGCTGGTCCCAGCCTCTCCCCAGACTCACAGAAATAGGGGTGCTCCATTGCCTCCTTGGCCGTCAGCCTCTGTTGATGGTCATATCGCAGGAGCTTGTCCAGGAGGTCTAAGACTTCAGGACTGACCAGGTGTCTGTTCTCACTGTGGATGAAGTTCTCCCAGCGCTTCCGGGAATGCCTGCAAAGGGACCGCTGTCACTACCCAGCTCTGACCAGCACAGCCGTCCTGGGACCCAGAGGTCTCAGGAAAATCCCCTGCCACTATCCACTTTTGAGAAGAGATGGCTGTGACAGACACTGCCTACAGCTCTTCCTTGCACAAGCGACTGCTCAGCAAGCGTTTGCTGAATGGGGGAAAACCCTCTTCTTTACGTACAGAATTGTGTGGATGTCCTATGCCTGGGAAAGGCACAATAGTGCACATTCTCTTCCGTCTGCAGGGACTAGACAACAGCATGCAGCAGGCAGGGTGACAGACACCCCTGGGACCAGAAGTGCTCTGGCTTGCCTCACAGAAGCTGTCCTCACTATCCCATCCACCTCTTGTCCTTTTCAGAGATCTCAGCTGGGAGATTTTGAGCCCCTCAGCCCACACTCAACCCTAGTGTCTACCTCTCCACTTCTAGGATGTCAATGAGTAAGAGAAGGAAGAAACGGGGGATGGCTCGTGGATCACAGGAGAGGCGAAAGGAAAGCACCTGCATTTCAGTGACCTCCTGAGATGACACAAGCAGCCAGATGGGAGGCCTGCAAGCAGCATTATGACCCAGAAGATCAAAGCAGACCTTTGCCAAGAGTCCTTCAAGGGGATGGACATCAGTTTATCTCCCTTTCTGTGTCACAAGCTAAAAAGGCAGCATTTCACTTCTCCACTTACTGGCCCAGGATATCATTGAAGTGCGGGTCCAGTTCTATGTGGTACTTCTTGAGATACCCATACAGCTCATCTGTGCCCAGGACCTTTGCGATGCGAACCAGCTGGAACAAAAGGCATGTTGAGAGAGAGCAGAAGGTCAGGCCACCACTCTTTTGCAGAGGCAGAGCTGCCCCAATCTCTGGAAACCTCCCAGATGAAAGGAGTATCTCCCTTGAAACTTGTTCTTGCAACGTGTGTGCGGAAAATAAGTCTTCTACACAAGGCAGTGAAGCATAAACCCCAATGGCTTAACTAAACACATAGCAACATCCTCCCAGCCTGGTGGTCCAGTCCCCAGAACCTCCCCACTATACACACAGAGACAAGGCAGTGACAAACATCTCATGAAATAAGCCAGGTAGCAAAGTCTTTACTTGATCATAATTGTCCTGGCCATGGAAGAAGGGCTCCTTTCGGAAGATCATGCTTGCCAGCATACAGCCTAAACTCCACATGTCTAAGCTGTAGTCATACATCTGAGGGGGAAAAAGGAGAAGCTGTCAGAAAAGGCATGCTCACCATGGCCTGGTTCCCCAACTGCAGAGGCAACCTCAGCCTTTTCACTTCACAGCCAGCCTCTTTCCAACCCAGGCAATGCCCTGGCAGGCAAAACCAGACAACCCAAAGGTGGCCAAAGTGTAATCACAAGTGGTATAATTGGCTAGCAAGGAGGAGGCAGACTCTTACTTGGTAGTCCACAAGGAGCTCTGGTCCTTTGAAGTACCTAGAGGCCACACGGACATTGTATTCCTGAGCTGGATGGTAGAATTCGGCCAGACCCCAGTCTATGAGCCGCAGCTGAATATGTGATAAAAAGAGACAGAGTCAGGAGCCTCGGTATAAGCCAGTTAGGTGAAGCCACCTTGGCCAAACCTCTCAATGCTGTGATGCAAGAATGCTTCTGTGATTCTGTGATTAAAGGCCACGCAGCTGTGACCCATTGACTGTACGAAGGCAATGGCTGGACAACACTGGCCAAACCTCTCAATGCTGTGATGCAAGTGTGGAGCCCAAGATGCAAGGAGGCACTCTGAGGACAGGAGATGCTCTCAGCAGTACTCTGGCCAGGATCTTCCCTTTCCCCTGTCACCAGCTGCTGGGGCAAAGCCCAGCTTTGAGAGCTCCTCTGCCTCCTGAGCCCCAGCACACTGCTGCTGCTGGCGACTGGCTCCTTACCAGCACCACCAGCCACAGGTCGCTGCGTACTAGGGACCAGGCAAAAGCCCACTGTCTTATCCTGCTGTTTGCAGGGGCTGGGCTGAAGGCAGCGTTCATTTTAACCGGGGGCTGAGAGCAGGCAATGAGGTAGGAGGGCGCCCACCACATCCGGCAAGGCAGACCATCTCCTCCGCAGCCACAGGGATGGACAACCTGCTGCGTTACTGAAGGACAGGGGGTCTAGGAAGAGACTTCCCCTCCTTATAAACCTCACCTTGCCTCCACAGCCTCCGCTGATTGACTGCGAGGGACCTGGGGACCAGCAACTAACTCGCTGCTGCAAATCCCAGGTCCCTGGGGAGCCGGGCACACCCAGCACCCGGTGAGGTCCCAGTACCACACCGGGGTGGGGAAGCCCCTGTGCTGCCCATTTCCACCGCAGCCAGCCGGGTACAAACGATTCCTGGGATCCAAGCAGCACACCCCAGAAGTGAGGAAGGCACTGCTTGTTTCCTACATAAATATATCCACGTATATTTCAGACATGGCCACCCTTCTTCTGCCCGGGGCCTCTGCACTCTGCTGCCACACCTCCCCAGGTGGAGATGAACAGCCCAGACCTGCTCCTCGCAGCAGAGAAACCCAGCGTGGCTGCCTGGGGGCAGGAGAGCCGCCTCCAAGCCAGGGACTCCCGCTGCGGTGCTCCCCAGTGGGACTTTGGCCGTCTCCTGGGACAAGGCACAAGCGGAGGGGAGCCGGTAAAGAAAGGTTAAAGGGGTAAGTCCAGCTGCCCAGGCTACAGGTGCAGAGGCGACACATTTGGAAGGTTCCTTGGAAAAACCCCATGTGTAAGCCCTGGTGCCACAGTACCTTTTTCTGTTGGTGGTCTATCATGACGTTGTGGGGTTTGACGTCCCTGTGCATGATCCCCATGCTGTGACAGTAATCCAGGGCCTGGCAGACACACGCACATGCATTAGACACG